CATTTAAAGAATCGGTGTGTAAGTGAAATATAACCAATCAATCAGCATCTAACCGAGCTATGATGGAAATTGGAAATATAATGGAAATTCGCTATTGGTCCAAGTCCAGATAGTTGAGCAGCTCAACTTTCTTTGCTTCTTTAGATGAAAGGGTAGGAATGGAACATATTCACGTGCTAGGGACCTGGTTTAGTTCAACTGAGTGCACGCTCAACTGTCGCTACTTTTATCAGTACAGTTGCCGCTCATACCACTTTCTGTCACCTACATTCAACCCTCGCCACCTTGATCGCTTGCCAGTGATAATTGCAACGAAGTTGGAGAGACCTGCATTCAAACGCTCTTATCATTCCTTGTCATTGGTTATCTTTTCATACACCCCGGTGCATAATAGATTGCACCCTATAAAAAACTTAGTTTTTGAGAGAGGCCGAAACTTTTATTGATTCTGCTGTTGATATATTTCCTGGGGAAGTAGATAAATAATGTTGACACAATATTCAGTTAGATACAGTGTCTTTGAAAATTTTTAGAGTGAAATATTGATTTTTTTGGCGGTGCACAATAGATTGGACGACTTGAGATATTCAATTTTTCCGACGACCTTTTTCCTGCTTTTTAAGTTCGCATGTACTCACGTATTATGTGAAGTATACGCGTTTCACAAACGAAGACTGGATTCGCACTGAAGCGTTACTTCTTCTTGGCAAGGGTGTCTCCAAATCTCTAAGGAACCCTCCATTCCTAGGAGTACAGTTGCAACTGTGATCAAGAATCATTCTCAAACTGTTCTTGAAGAACAAGATGGTTTGGAAGTCAACTGTTCCTGAGCGCGGCAGGCGCTGCTTGATTAATTTGGCATTGAGTTCCACAAAGGTTGCCTATGAATTGGCTGTCGCTTGCGGGATTGTCGTTTCGAAATGGACCGTGTCTCGTATGTTGAAAATATCGGACCACATAGTTCGACAATAAATAAAGCCGACACTACGCCTGACTCAATATCATCGACATAAGCGGCTCCCTCTTGCGAGGATGAGATTGCAGAGATTGGGCAGCGGAGTGTTCTGGGCACATTTCCAGCTTTATGTTAAATTTAAATTTCTCATTTCTATTTTTCCTACGGTAATTTCTTTCGATGACATTTTGTTCGGCGGAGATGAGTCGTGTTAACGGCACTCGAACTGGCGCTCTTGCAGAAGTGAACCACTACTGGTGCCTCGAAGCAACATCGGTGCCTTCTCCTGAATGGTTTGGTGGGCATCCTCTAGTGATGGTAGCCTTGAGATTCATTTTGATTCTTGTGAATGAGAAGCCAGAACTATCAGTCACTCCTCAACAACACGTTGGTACCATTCGTTTCTTGAGACTTCAACAAAGCACTTCATCTTCGTGCAAAAGAACGCTTCGAACCACACTTCGTGAAGCACTCTGTCCCACTTTCAATCTAATAACAACCCATTATTTTCATCGCCGGCATGTAATCCTGATACAAACCCTATCGGGAATACATAGGGTATACTGACGCGTAAGATCTACGAAATGGGAAAGCGTATGACAATGTTCAGCCGCTAAGAAATACCATTACAAAGGAGTGGAAAACTCTACCGCCTCTGCTGCTTAGAATGCGCTGATTCAAAATCTGATTCCAGTCCCAAGCTCACTGAGAAGAAGGACGCTTTGCTCATACTTAGATGGGAGGAGCAGACTTTACGTCTTGTTTTTTGATCCACAATACATATCGTCCAATCTATTATGCACCGGCTCAAAAAGTGAAAAATTGTTGTCACAAACTTTGAAAAAAGTCGTAATGTCAAATAAATATCACAGATATTATTCCTTCGTCTATTTCTAAACTATAGTATAGGCAGAAGCAACAAAAGTTTCCGGCTCTCAAGAAAATTAAGTTTTCTATGGGGTGCAATCTATTGTGCACCGCGGTGTATACTTATGTATATAGGGTAGCGAAAAATTACGTGTGCGCGACATTTCGCTTCGTTTCAATTATTGTATGAGGGACTTATGTGTACTTCTTCCTCTAAAACTGTTGGGCTACTGTTAATGCTATTGGTTGGCCAAGGACAAATTTGTTTTCCGATTTCTGACAAAGACCTGTTGAAGTTGAAACACACCGCCTTTGCTTATGCAAATTGCAAGCAAACAACTCCACCGGCGACCAAACGACTTCTTCGAGCCTCACAGTTTTTCTACGGATCATCCCAGAAACTTGAAAGCATTAGAAGGAGGAAGGATTTTCCAAATTGAATCCGTAATGAGAGCAGTCTACCAACACCCGATGTGTAAGGGAAATACTAAAAAGGGAAGTGACCAGAAAGATGAGCCAGCATATAGCTTGAACAAGAATGCCGAACAAAACCAGACTTTCCGAAAGTTCGTTCAGATGACAACAAAAATGAAGGGCGGAACGGAGGTTATCGCTTATCAAACAAACATTTCCCACTGTTCAAGCAAAGCAAAATCGGTGAGAAAACAGAAGTTGCAGGATTTTTTGAGCGGCGGCCCTAGGATGCCCTGTAGTTTCACAAATAATGGTTCACCTTTTGAGTGCCATATTTTCAGGATCACCTTTAACTTGTAAACCAGCTCTTAATAACATCACTAAATGAAAAGTACATTCAAGAATTTTGTTCCCTGGAAATTTGATGATTTGAAGGCTGGAACAGTGCTTCGAGCAGGTCCTCCACAGGTTTTTATCCATAAAAGCGCGGAAATCAATGGGAAGGTCTATAGGGTCCAAGGGGATCCTTGAGAAAGTTGTTGCTCCTATGAGCAACAAAAGCATAACAATTCTGTCTTTCTACAGGAATGCGTTCGGGCCTATGGACTAATAAAACCATCCAATCCTTCGAGAGTAATATTAGATGTTTTATGGCGATTGTCGTGGTCCGCTTACCGTCCGAACTCGGCTCTATCAAACTTCTATTGTGAGGTTTTTGAAGAACTACTAAAGATCCGAAGTGCAAAAGCTTGTGATCCTGAAAGGAAATGCCTGAAATTTGGAATGAAGTATGCGTTGAACACCTTCCGCCGCACCATTGACCCGTTGAAGAAACAAACTGAGGCTTGTATCAAAACTGATGGCAGCTTCTTCGATCTTTTTTGCCCTTATAAAATATCATGTTTAAACAAGGTTACGTGTTTTATGGTGCACGTAAATTTTCGCCACCCTATAGTATATGTATACTACATATATATACTGTATTTGGCTAACCAATATTGAAAGTGTAAAATTTGCAGGCGAGGAAGTACTGCAACGAGCGCTAGCGGCAGCCCTTGCTTTTTAAAAGCTCCGGAAGATCGCAAAAAAAGAGTCAATTTCCCTCAAACAGAACCAGGTGAGTACAACTTTCATGATTGTGAATTAATGTGGCGTGTACTGCTTACCATGGAGCGAAGAACCTTTCCTACGCCGAGGACTCTCCACCCATTGTGGGCGTCCCTTCGGTCATTTCATGTGCGCTTTTTACACCTTAGCATTGCTCACATATCTCCATCAAGTTCTTTACTCTGTATGCCGCCTTATGACCGTGTTATGAATGGTCTTAATGAGCACTCTGTTCGAGAAGCCTTACGCGATTTTCCAGATTTGGTTTCGTTATTTTGTGCACCCACCTTAAAGACAAGATCCAGGATCTTAATCAAAATCAAGCTTTTTCCCGAGAAAATGCTGTAATACGCAAGGTGGCAGTGCGTCGACAATATCGGGAAAATTTACCAAGGCCGGCCGCTAAGGCAAAAGATGTATACAGAAGGGGGCCAAGAAAAGACATTTTGCCCATGTCGCACTTCGGCCTTTTTTTCTTCGCAGAGATTGCCGTCGTTGACGGAAGTTCCTCAGCAAGTATTCCCTAAATGTCCCTCTATAAGTACACGCAGGCCCTCCTTCACTGCCCTCACCGTCTTCAGAATATGACGTCATCTGTCACCGTCGTCAAGCTCAAGGAGGCCTACCGTAACTGCTTCAGCCTGAAGCTCTTACATAATTTCGTGAATCGATTCAATGTTGGATAGTTTCCTAGAGACATTAGCTCCCACTATGCAAACCCCCTCGAAACTCGCTTTTCAGTAAGTTCTGTATGGTACACGGAGCTCGACCAGTGCACCATGTTTCTGCGGGCGAATTTCTTCTGATGCCGTCCACGTAGGTGGCCACTATGAAGATTTTCTTATAAAATGAAATGCGCTCTTCAATACCATTTCGGAACCTCTCGGTTTGAACTGAGCAAAGTGTGATTAAATCCTACATTGGCCCTGCCAAACACCAATGCCCCACCCTTGAACATATGAATTTCGCTACTCAGCTACTAAAAAGAGGACTTTATGTTCCTACTAGTCGACCGTCCTTCCCTGGTTTTTTTTCTGGCGTTGCGCTTGAAATCTTCGCCGTCACTTACAAGTGCAATAACACATCAGTTTAATCCGGACCTTGTCTAGAAAGGCAGTGAGCTTGATAATTCTGGGTGTGTGCAAAATGCAAGCGGGTGCTAGATAGTGCGACAGCGGTCAAACAAGCAAGAAATGTTTTGGGAACCCGCAAATGGTTACCCTTGTTTCATGCTGTTATCGCAGACGTGTTCACGACTCAGATTTGGCTATTTGATCAAGGGTACCGCTAAGGAGTACACTGCGCGACAAGATCACAAGACTCGCGATGTAGACGAACAGTGGTATGGGGTTTATTGCTTGCTTACCATGAAAGGTTTATTTAGTGTTGTTTTTTGTTGATCTTATCTTCCACTTGTCCTTCATTCCCTCGCTGCTTCTTGATTACAGCAGTCTACTACCTGAATCACTTCACCCCCTTACACTTCCCCCAGGTGACGAGGTCGCCTGTTCACATAATCAGCTACCATTTACTACATTATTACATTACCCTGCACCCCTGCCGAGGGGTTCTTCTGCAGTAATCACGGATTTCACACTGCTCCAAACACATTTACTCTCCACTTGATCATAACTCAAAATTCAAATAAATTTCATTTATCACTCCGTAGGGTGCCCTTCGACCTTTTTACTGGGGCGCAGTGGGTCTCATCCATTCTGGCCATTAGCTGCGCATACATGAGGCGCGTTTCGCTCAACTCCCTTCGCAATGCGGTTCGACGTTCCCTGCGTGGCCTGCGTATGGCCCACGGTAAGTACCTACGTCACGAGGTTGTGGTGTGGCCTGCGGGGCCCCCTTCTACCGCCACCACTTCAATTCCCTCGATAGGCTCGCTCACCTCCACACTCTGATCCAAACATTGAACACTTAAATTCGTCTCCAAGTATCAGACTTATGGCCTGTATCGTCATTGGCGGGCTCGGCAACGTCGCCATTGACCGAGGGCGTAAGCGGTGGAGGTGGTGGCGGCTGCGCCGGGTATGGCAAGGTGGTTGCTGGTACATAACTTTTTATACTCTTCCTGCCATCCACGCGGCTTACCACGTCCACCACCTCTATACTGTCTTTCTTTCTACAGGTTTCTCCCTCTCCTTCCACGTGAATTCCCATCCGAGTCGTGGGTTTACGTGTTCGACCGAACCACCTTAGCGGTAAGACTTGCTCTTGTGCTGGAGTCCTTCTATCAGCTATCGATGCATAGTCCTCTTCTGCCATTATCCCCTCTTTTAATCAATTAAAATTATTCGGTAATTCGCTTCCTGCCATGATGGCTGTTATGCAGCATTCGCAACACCGTTTTCCACGACATTGTGAGTACTATCACCCCGTTACTCCACATGAGGTAACCATTACAAATTGATGTTGCCCAACTTTTAGTTTAAGCAAAAGCCTTTTTTCTAATTTGGGCGGCCAGCCCTCCTTGACATAACGTAAAACCTGAGCAAGCTCTGGGTCTTCTAAAGTCGCTTTCGCTATTTCTCCTTCTGATAAAGGCAAGTCAGTACAAGTTTTTCAGTCCAACGCTCTCACTTGCGAAACTCTAATTACCATTTCTTCCCATGGTAATTCACGAGATCGGGCAAGAGTGATGACCCATCCGCATTTCTGAATTTTGAAGTTTTTCGATCTGAATATCGAAGCAGTAAACCATTAATTGCAAAGCCTATCGATGCAGTCTTTTAGCCGCTATCGTGGGCATTCCATTTTTACCCTATATTTTTACCAAGGACAGGTGATCTGTCAGTAGCGTTGATCTGCTGCCGTATGAAAACTGGTTGAATTTTTCAGCGCCATGCACAATGCCCAGAGAAGCATATACAATGACTTTCTTTGGCCATCTTTATATTTTTGATATATTACTGCTCCTAATCCATAACCGTACGCATCTGTTGCTAACACAACCGGCACATCAGGGTTTTAAGGTGCCAGTACATCGGTTTATGTTAGCCTTTCCTTTACTTTGTCAAACGCTCTTTGGCGCTTTGCATCCCAGCACCACTCTGTCCCTTTCTTTCCTCAACGCATTTAGCTGAGTTGCTAACGTTGACAAATTATGCACAAATTTGAACTATCATTGAACCATGCCTAAAAAGGATTCCAGTTCTTTAATATTTTTTGTTACTGGCATCTTAAGAAACACCTCTATTTTCTGAGGCGACGGCCGTATCTCATGGTCATCAACAAGCTGGCCCAAAAACCCCATCTGGGTCTTTAAAGAGTCCACATTTGTTTCTTTTGAGACAAATCCCAGTTGATTTCAACCTTTATAGTACTTGTGAGTCTGCAAAGGTGGATAGTATCATCCTGTCCTGTCACCGTGATGTCATCTAAATAAATCACGTCCCCTCAATTCCCGTCAATGTTGTTTTCCATTACTTTTTTTGAAAAATCATCGGTGCCGATGCTATTCCGAAAGCTATTCTGTACTCAAATGTTGTACTCGGACAACCCTTTCTGGGTATTTACTGTAGTATACTCCCCTGATTCCTTGTCCAGTTCGGCCTGCATGTATGCCTCCGACAGATCCATTTTTGAAAATTTTATCCGCCATTCAAATTGGAAATAAATCATCTGGTTTCGGCAACGGATATTGATTTATTGGTTCTCATCCTAGTCGCCACTCGCGATGTAGACATGGAGCATGTCATGGAACTGTTTATTGCATCCCATGAGGGGCTTCATATAGTGTTCTTCTTTCCTTCATCTTCTTCTTATCCTTCATTCCCGCTGCTTCTTGATTACAGCAGTCTACTACCTGGACCACTTCACCCACTTATAACAAGACCAGTTGGCGCCGCACGCATTGCGCGCGCAACACAGATCTGCTGCGAACTTTGATGGTGCGACAAAAATTTTCATATTTGGCTTGATACACTACGAATATCTGAATCCTCAGCTAAATTCTATCCGCTCCATCATCGACGGCTTTCAACCTTTTTTTCTTCGTCAACCATTATCCTCTTTTTCCGGTCTCCGGACTGCTTCCGGACAATAAATCTCGTGGCAAACTCCGCCTACTTCGGTGCGTGCCCCGCCCACCAATAGCATTTGGCCCCCTTCCTTTCGCCGACCTCTACCCCTTTTTCACCGGTCTCTGGGACCTCTTGGAACCAAATTACGACACTTTTGGCAAACTCCGCCCACTTAGGTGCGTGCTCCGCCCACTAATAGCAGTTGACCTCCTTTCCTTCGCCGACCTCTACTCCCTTTCCCCGGCCTCCGGACTTCTTGGAGCCGAGTTATGAATTTTCGTCGCAAACTCCGCCCACTTTGGTCAAGCCCCGCCCACCGATGACAGCTGGCCTCCACTCCTCCACCCACCTCCATCCACCTTTTTCCCGGCCTCCGGGACTTCTTGGAGCCGAGTTATGAATTTTCGTCGCAAACTCCGCCCACTTTGGTCAAGCCCCGCCCACCGATGACAGCTGGCCTCCACTCCTCCACCCACCTCCATCCCCTTTTCCCGGCCTCCGGGACTTCTGGAGCCGAGTTATGAATTTTCGTCGCAAACTCCGCCCACTTTGGTCAAGCCCCGCCCACCATTGACAGCTGGCCTCCACTCCTCCACCCACCTCTATCCACCTTTTCCCCAGCCTCCGGAGCTTCATTGGAGCCGAGTTATGAATTTTCGTCGCAAACTCCGCCCACTTTGGTCAAGCCCCGCCCACCATTGACAGCTGGCCTCCACTCCTCCATACCTCTATCCACCTTTTTCCGGCTCTTTAAGACTTCCCCGACCCGAATTATGAGGGCTTGTAGAAAATGCTGTACACTTCAGAGCGCGCCCCGCCCATTCTGGGCGGGCCTCCGCCCACGTCATGTATGCAGGAAACCTTAGACATTGCTCCCTTACACCAAATTGTTTTCTGCTCTGTAGGCTTTCTCCCAACCGAGTTATGAAATTTTTCATAAAGCACTGCTTTTTTGGAGAACGCCCCGCCCACCGGGGGTGGGTCTCCCTAATTCGATGTGACTTACCAATGCACACCTTTACCCACTTTTTGGCCCAGTTTCGAGGCTGTTTTGTCACTGAATTGAAATCTTGGTCGTCAGTACAGTTCATTTCGACGCACGCCACGCCCACTGTGGGCGGGGCTCCGCTTAGCTGATGTGTGTTTTGTACTTCGTGAGACCTTGCCCACCCATCCCACACTTGACCCGGTCCCTCCAGGCGGATCCCGAGGAGCTAGGGAATTTCGTGACAGACATACAGAACGACAGACAGACGACAGACGAAGCGCTTTATAGTAAGTAGGATACGGGTGCTTTACAGAGCTTTCGAAATGAAAGTTGAAAGTAGATCTAGGATCTCCAATATTGGGTGGGGTGTTTTGGGGCAGGACGAATTTTTCTGTTCCACACCTACGCTCATTACGTCGCGAAACGACAACATTAGCTTACTGCAGTGCTTCGCCCTCTAGCCTCCGCTTGCAGCGACGTATATACTTCCTCAGTCTGCATCCACTTCGTAACCACTGCCCTTAACTCACTTTTCTATGACTCTGCCTGTTCTGAAACCAAACTAGAGACTTCACCCATTCCCGAGCAGGCCCCACAGACCATGGGCGGAGCTAAGCTCAGCTTATCTGCGTTTTTTCTTCCTCACCCATACCTACCCATACTTCACCTGGCCTCCCCAGGCTTTTCTTCAGGTATGTGGCAGGCAGGCAGACAAGCAGATGGAGATAATTATAATTGGGAGGATTTGTTATATATATTCCTGATCATGATGTGACATCTGTTCTGGCGCTGGTGTCATATGGCTTCAATCTGGGTATAACCTGAAGTTAGAAATTCGCCACCACTAGGAATCCTACCCTTCCCTACCGTGCCATTGGCGGTTTACAATGCTAGTTGCTAGAATCTCCAATCACGCAAGCATCGATAAAGTGACAATGTTTATGAAGCGGATCAAATGCATGGAAGCGGAAAAGAGACAATTTTCTGTGTCCTACATGCATGCCCTCACGGCATGCAGAAAGCGTCCAAAAAGCGCTCACCTCCTGAACAACCTCCCTGCATTACGAAACGGAAATTCAATAGCAATTCATTAGCAATCGTAGCGAGTCCGCTACTAATGGTAGGAGTTCTCCCCGGAACAGTCATTACCCTATCTCACCCAAATTCACTGCCTCGAGATCAATCGTTCAGATAAGAACGAAAAAAAGGAAGAGTTGTGTTTATCTTGGTAAACAGTTCGAAAAAGTGAAAGGACTGTCACACGTTCAAATTCCCGCTTTAAAGTGCTGGCGGTGGAAACGCTTCCACTTGGTTCTCGAAGTGCATCACTAGAAACTCTTTTTGACCTTTTGACTTATTGCACTAACATCTCACACTTCTACTGCATCCTATTCTATCGATCGTTTTGTCCTGCACAAATCGAACGCTTTTATTAGATTCTTTCAATGCGTCGCCTGATACGTGACCGCCCCAAGGCACACTTTTTTCCTCCTTTGGCTCCGCGCGACCTACCTTCGACCGTCCATAGAGTGTGGTTTTCGTAAGTTTGTTTCTCTTCGGAAACCGAATCTTCATGCGTGAAACTTTGTATGTTGTCTCCAGTGATCACAACTGACATATTCATGTTGGGAAAGAATGCAAGAATTTTCCGGGCAAGGATTCTCTGATCCACACCGGAGCAAGGTCATCCTTATGTTGATTCAAGGGGGATCGTATTTGGTTCAGCTTGTGGGAGTGGATCGAAACAGCAGCAGAAAACATGTATGATAGCTTCGTTCGAAGGGAGTGCTCGCACCATGACGTGAATCTAGCCACGAAACCACATGTGAAACTGGTGAAACTGGAGCATTGCCTGAACCAACATGGATAATAGCCACCACGTTACGTTTACGCAAGATAATTGATACTAGAGCATCTATAAGCCACGCTTCCTTCTAAATGAGCTTTCAAATGAATCAGCGAATTAGAAGCGCGGCCGAGGCGTGGCGCACACCAAGGCAGGGAATCTCAGTACAAGCGCATGCACAAAGCTTTCTAACCCACTCTACCAGGAAAGGTCGTTGGGCCAATCCGGCCAAATGAAATGAGGTGCACATTTCTGTACGCAACATGAGACGCTGAACTCAAATCTGCTTTCATTATCTGCTGAACTCTTCTCTGAAAGGAGTTACGGAGGGTTTTTGTTGCCGCCCTTGATTTTCAGTGTCTTGCCTGCAATCACATGTTAGCTGCATTATGAAAGTATCGAAAGGAGAACCGAGGCTCTACTGGAGTGAGCTTCAGTAGCGCAGTTGGTAGCGGTCTTGCTTTTCAAGTAGGAGGCGCGCGTACGACCCTGTTCTGGGTTTGGGCTTTGCTTTTTTTCCAACATGTCGCCCGAGGCCATATCTTATCATATCATACCATATCCATTTGCAAGCAGATCTTCTCACGTTTAAAGGAATCTTCCGCGGAAAAAGCTCCGCCTCCATTACCACAGAAAAACGATACCCCTTAGGCCCCTAGCCTCATGAGCATAGCAAAAAGAACGGAACATAAGCGTTAGTTTCGATAATACTAATCCTACACACAAGACAAAATGATCACTCTTTCCGTGGAAGATTCCTTTAAGGTATCTTTTCTGTGAGTGCTCATGATACTCGTAATGCAGTGCTATGCTTTTCCGTGGCAAGTAGGTACGATATTCGTATTCAGGGGATCAAACTACCCCTAAAAACGAGTTTCTTGCCAAACCTGAGGTCATGAACTAATTGAGAAAAAGCGGAGCAGTGATGGGATTACCACTCCTCAAACTCCACTTTTTTGGGTTGACCAATCATGGACGACGGGGGAAAGGGAGAGGTGGTTGTATTAGGAAATAATGCTTTGCAGATCTTTGGATGATGCAGACGGGCAAGCCAGACACAATTTTTGTCTATTATGAAAGTGTTTAAAGGTTTATTCTACCCAAGTGCCAGCCTTTTGTAATGGATTGGTGGATCGGTGAGTAAGTGACTGCCCAAATTTTCGAGGTTAGGTCAAAATTTCAGAATTTCCTAGAGGCTTGCTTAGAGAGAGAGAGGGAGAGAGAGAGAGTCTGGCACCCTGATTACGCCTTCGTTACGAGCGCCTAAATAGTGAGGAGCGATGCCGCCCAAGTTCGTTATTAATTGCCCTTAAATTCTTTGTACTGTTAACTATACGCAAGCATGTTGGACTAGCGATGTTAGGAATCTTCCTAGCTATCTTACTGCAAACGGCAAAAGAACAAACTCGCCAGGGAGTTGATCCCCTGACCTCTTTTTCGTGAGCCTCGACCACAGCCCCTGCGCTTTTCATAATTCCTTTCAGAGAAGAGTTCAGCAGATAAGGAACACACATTTGAGCTCAGCGTCCCAAGCAGGGTCAACCCTATGTTGCTACAAGTAGCAACGGGGGGTCGTATTTTGATGAGTTTGTAGAGGGGGGGGTCGTACTTGCTTCGGTTGTAAGAAGTTGCATGAGATGAGTGGGGAGTGGCGCGGGAGAAAATTTGCCGTTTCAGCGCGCGTATATACCCCCCCCTAGAAAATGAAGCGTGGATTATAGGTAGAAGGGGGTAAATTGGTGGAAATTTAGGGAATTTTGGTAAATTTTTACTGTTTCAGAGTGACTATATACCCCCCGCTCGACGGCATTTTTGGAGGAAAAAGTGGGCGGAGTTTGGTGGGTTGAGTGGTACCAGAATTAAATACTATAGAGAGGAATATGGTGGTCGAGGGTCGAAAAGGGGGTCGTACCAAATCCACCTTGGGGGAGGGGGGTCGTAAAAATTTTTCGAAAAGTAACAACGATAGGACCGACCCTGGTCCCAAGGCGCCCATACACACATACCTCCAATTGGCCAGGTTGACCAAATGACCTTTCCTAGTAAGATCAACATGAAGTTAGTTTTTCGGGAGGCTACGACCAGTGCAACCTAAAAACACCCGCGTTTTCAAGAAAAGGGCTCAAAGATTGCCCTTCCCACAACTTCCTTTAAAATCATTGATTTGGGAAGCTGGACCTAGTATGACAAACTACAGGATTCAAGCTTTCTAAAGTGCACCCAAGCGTTCCTGAAAGATCAGTAGTTCAAAAATTAGTCCCGTTGTTACTTTTTTGGAGGGTTTGCGGAGCTATTTTTCTGGAACCGCAATTTCCAACCTTCAAACAATGATAACTTTTCTTGTTTCGGAATAAGAACTTCAAACTCAGACCAAATTCGATCTGTGGGTCCCATCCAGTGAGTGGGGCGGGCATTGTCAGGGCGCGTAACGCATTTAAAACCATGGAAAGCATATTCCCTCATTGTTAACGTTCAGGACTAAGACCCAGAAGGGAGGGAGACCCCGGGCCGTGCAATCCCCGTTTTCCGTAGGCCTTCCCCTCTTCTTGGGTTAATCCTAGCTGCTCAACTTTTCATATACGCTTATGTTGTCCAGCACAAGAACACACATTATGCAAAGCAACTAATCAAATAACGTAGGAACAAGGCTGGTAGCAGCTCATAACTTCAAAGGACTTCCATAGCCAAAATGACATCCGAGCAGCCTGTGCATCGCAATGCCTCCTTTTGCCGAATGAGACCCCGATATGTTTGCCGTGGCTTCCGCAACACATACTTGCCTCTGAATGAAGCCCTTCAACCAATCTTACAAGAACTCCATCATGCTGCCCCATTAATATCTCTGAGTTTTTTCAACTCCTCAAAATATTGTTCACCGAAAAGAGATACGAGTAGTCATTATTTTCTAGAACAATTTATTTGGCTCATATAATTTCTTTTCAGAGACCAGGGAGTACGTGATAGAAGATGTAGACAAGCCTCTGTTTGAGCGATCAAGTCCCATAGAAGAGTGGTCGAGTGACAGCCGAGACAGTCCTCTCCTTGAGATGAGCCGATACGACAACGTCCCATGCACTGGGCAATCATCACGAGGTACATGCGGTAAATGCACCATTAGTACACTCTATAACCATGAGATAGACGAATTCTAACTGCGGACTCCTTGACGCGTGTGGCTGCGGTCTTGGAAGGATTGTAATAGTTGTCGACGAATGGTTCCTGTCTGCAGCTGGATGCGACTTTATCCTGGCAATAAGTCGGAAGAGAAGTCCTGTAACACTGCTTCACACTCTTTATCTTTTATTTTTTTGTCTTAGTAGGCCGACCGAATCTACATCAATCATTTATGCCCCACTTGTCCACAACGCTCAGGTAGTGTCTCAGCTCTATCTTCAAAACTAAGTCGGCTGGCAGTCGAACTGGTGAGCGACCTCGCTTTTCAATATGAATGACCATACAGTTGTTCTGTAACTCAGTTGATGATTTGAGACTCAGAAAGTCGTGTTCGCTTGGTGCTTGACCTGAGCACAGTGGGTAGCATAGGATGTCTCAGTTCAGCACCTGAATTCTGTTACGAGCTCTTTCTGAGACATGTGGGCGCGTAATGTCGTTAAGAAGATCAACGTTGGCGTTTACGTGCATTTCTATACTATTTCGATGGGTCACTTCTGTAGTCCTGCAGAATACATCCCTACAGCCACAATAGTGCAATTTTTGAGGAACTTTTACTTAAACGGCATACTCCGATATTAGGCGGCATTGCCTGTTCCATCCCGGGGGTAGTAGACAAGCGTTGATGTCGCGCCCCTTTTGCCGCTTGAAAGTGCGCGACAAAGGCGCAAGGAGCTCGTCCGACCCGCAACTCACACCTTCGTCCGCAAGCCCCACCCTCCGCTGTCGGTTGCCACGTGGCGCTGCTTGAAAAGCGCGGGCGCATTTGAGGCAGCGGTCCCATTGCGACCCAATGTCATTGGCACTGGAGCAACTAGAGTTAGGTTCGTGAAACTCGTCCAACGCGCCCTTCTCTATCCCAAGGTGGAATGCGGCTGAAATAGGGGAGGTCTCTGTGCGGGGCGTAATCGGTGGTTTCGTTTGCTTTCCTTCTCTTTTACAGACCACCTCCCACCTCTAGCTTCATAACTGAACGCTTTTCCACACCTATTTTATCCCGAATCTTGCCTTCAAGGGTATGGGTCGCAACCAGATCCTCACAAGGGGAGGTCGTTCAGGGCGTGGAGCGCTTTCTGAAAACGGTTTTTTGCATGATATAGGGGCATGGTGCAGTGAACACAGATCTATGGTCCATTTCCGCTAAATGGCCTTCTGAATGCCAAAAAAGGAGTGAAAATCATTTTGTTGGAAACTGCAGTTTTTACACATTCAACGTGGTGTGTTTCATTCATGGCGTGGACTACTTGCATAATGAAGGGTCTTCGCAAGCTGTGTATCGAAAACAACGTGAAGTTTGGTCAAAATTGGAAAGTTGTCGTAGGTGATGTCATGCTGTGTACTAAAGAGCGTGTGGAAGTTCCATAAGAGCATTTGGCCAACATCTCCTGCAGCGTCGGTGGTGTAGTGGTTAGCGATGTGGATTTCGATTGGCACGCTTGGTCTGGGTTGGTGGTTCGGATCCCCGAGGCTCCGGGCTTTTTGCATTTTTTGTTGGCACTTCCAGATTTTCTCCAAATAGCACAGGTGCCAAAATGGATGTCTTATTCAAGACCAGAACCATTATTAACCCAGATGAGGTAATTTCTTACCGAAAGCAGGCAAAAAAGTCGTACCGTCGAAATGGCGCCATATAGTGCCGCTATTTGTGACTTGAGCTCTGATTTACCTCCATGGCCGAAGTTTCGGAGGAACTCGCATCCTTGTACTGACTTCGAAAATTTCCACGTCAAGTATTCCCACTCGCTTGGAGGCGTGCTCCACGCGAAAAACCTCCAGAAAACTATTGCACTGTGGGTGGACCCTCCGACCATCATCAGCTTGGGTGTCTGCTATTGTCTGTTCGGTAGGAACATTTCTCATTTCTTGAGGACGATCTAGAGGAGGTCATTTCCAAGAAGTTCGCCGTCGAGCCTGACGTGCTACAGAGTTTACTTACTCATGGAGCAATTTTTCGAAGTTGGGTCAAAGTCTTGATTTTCTTGAAAACTTCACAAGGCTCATCAGGTGCCCCGATTACGGAAGTGACATTCATTTTAAGCTAAAAGCATCATTTCGGACCAGGGTCAACCGTCCGTTGGACAAAGTCCAACGCGACGACGAGAGTAATGCCGAGAGTGAACGTACGCACGGAGACACAGACGGCTCGCGGGTGGCGAGAGTGAATGCCGGCGCGGAGAGCGGTGAACATCGGTCCAACGTCGCTCCAATATCGGTCCAACGTAACGGTTGACCCTGTTTCGGACCCCTTTGGCGCTGTTCGCCAGCCCGTTAGTACCGTTTTGCGTCACAACGTTCTCCCACCAGTTTTCGGTATAAGCCCACTTGTAAGGGTTTCTTGTAAGCCTAATTATAATTATGATATCATTCGGAATTGTATACTTAGTTAAACTGGGCACGGTAGCGTAATTAGCGGATAACGGTAGCGTTGGCAGGTCACTTCGCACTTCCCCAAACTTGCCTGTGGGATGACCCCACTTAATTGCTTGCGCTGAATACTGACATTTCTGGACAGCTCCAAAACAAGCAAAACGAAGCAAATGGAATGAATATTTGGGTGGACTTCTTCAGTCTTCGAGTCAATTTTTGAGTAGTGATAAGACCTTATTAATCCTCTGGCCACAGTGGCGCCTACTATCTCACTAGCGATGGAGAGAGTGGCAGTGGGTGCCACTCGGTCCATCGCTTGGGACAATGGCACCAAATGTTGGGTTTCACTTTGAGATTTTGTTCCTTGCATATTTGAAACATTTCTATCATTTTTGTTTTTATTAGCTGGCATGATCTATGCATAACCTATGTTTAGCTATGTTCAGAGAAATGCTCGAGAATAGTGACTCATGGAGAGTTTTAGAAAGAACATGGCGTCTAGCTCGCCAGCACGTTAACAGGGGTTCTTCATGATTAGGTTGAACACAAATTACTAATCAAGGTTTCTTTGTCTTTTGAATTTTGGATGAATTTTCTTCAACAACTGTGAGAAAAATTTGCCAAATTGCGCTGGCGTCAAAAACGAATGTCATCTTCGTGATTAGGACGCTGATCTAACCCTAACACCAAAGGTTTGGGGAGCAATTAACTCGACCTCGAAAAGTTGGACCGGCCGTAGGGACAACCCGACGTGTGTCCACGGACGGCTTGGAGGCGAGCTCGGAGCGGAAAATGGGGTATCCTCTTGTGATAAACACGGAGACCGACGTCTTGTCTCTATAAGACACGTGTCACACTTCCTTGCATCTTTGGAGCCGACTTTCTACCGACAAGAGGCCTAGCCAGGGGAGGATCAAAACTTCAACATGCCACTATTTGAAGGAAGGAAAACATAGACCCACTCTTCGTGCGTGGTCCATCGGCCATCACCGGCATGGCTGTCTGCCATTGCTCATTGTAGCTCAGGATTTCTCGTTTCTAGAGTCCGATTCTAGATAACGAGGAAATCGCTTTCATATCATCCACGGTCAGGCCTGATAGCTAGTGGCTTACCCATGGTTCGAAATTGGGTGAAAATCTTGATTTCCTCGAAACTTCGGATATAGGGGTTATTCAGTGCCCTGATTACGAATATGACATTCGTTTTTGGTGCGGACATCATCTGAAGCCGTAATAACGCCATTTTGTGCTACATTGGTGCCCTTTTGGGGTCACAAATGCCAGGACCCGTTTTTTGGACAAAAGCTACTTGTGAGAGTTGGTGACGGTTCTTGTTATGCAAATGACATCCATTCTTGGCACTGACGCCATTTTGCGCAATTCTGAGACGCCAACCGAAATGCAAAAATTTGTCATCGCAAGGAATCGAACCACGGACCCTTCATCACCCCTTTTTTGGTATTCAGAGAGCCATTTAGGAAAAATGGAACTATAGATTTATGACTTCTTGCATGGGTTACAATAAATTAATATATTATATATAATAATATAAAATATATCATGCGGAAAACCATTTGAAAAAGCTTGGCACGCCGTGAACGACCTTCTTGGTGAGAGACTAAGATCGGAAGCTTTGCTTAAAGGAATCTTCCACGGACCATGGACCAGTGGGCGGGACCGGAAGTGGTTTTGCGACGAAATGCATGGTAGGTACGGATCCACGTTCATGGGAAGGTTTGAAGTGAATCCTGTTCACGTTCGTGCGTCCGTACCTACCATGCATTTCGTCACAAAAACTTCCGGTCCCGCCCACTGGTCCATGGTCCGTGGAAGATTTCCTTTGAATGCTTGGTGAATTACGCTTTAACGAGGAACGACGTTCCTCCGGAATTTGTCAGCCTCCGTCGTGAAGGCATGACTACAGAGGTATTCACTGTAGACAATGGCTTACCAGGAAGAGGGTCAAGCGAACCGTCGAGGAAAATTTGGAAATACGACCCCCCCCCCTCCCCAGAGGCCGAAGTCCATGAAACGACCCTCTTCAAAAGCCGAACTATGAAAAGGTTGTTTAATTCTCCCCCAAAACTGTTCATAAAAAAGCCCTGCTACCCCACCGTCCACCAAAAAATTCGTTTAAAGTACAAAAGTGAAAAAGTCAAAGAATGATCATTATTGATGAGTCCTACCAAACGAGCAAACGAGAAACGGAGCAAAAAACGACAAACTAGTCACTAAAAATGGCATACTATGACAACATCTCTTCTTTATTTATTTCCTTCACAAGACTTACCAAATTCTAGTACTACACAGAGTATGGTTCTCAATTTACACGTCCCCCTTTCGCTTGAAAGAAGCCTTTAACCGCCTTCGCCAGCTGTGTGTTGACTGGACTTTGGCGTTGACCGTGGAGCAGCTTATTTACTATTGAAATTTGAACAAATATTCAAATGATTATAACTTTCTTCAAATATGACGAATTTTCAATCTGAAAGCAGATTTGGGAGTTTTGTGAAGAGCTCTTTCTAATCAGTACTAAAATTACAAAAATTATAAGA